ACAACCCAGCCGTTCTCACTAAGTAAGTTGTCGAAGTAGATGGTCTGTACCAAGAAACCCTTGATATGCAAGTGTCTGACAGAATGAACATTAAAATGGTAAATAAAAAACCGATACAGAATTGTTAGGTAAACACATATGCCACAGTTAGGTATCTTTATTTTGAAACGTTTCTGCCTACACAGTAGGCTTCCTTCAGTCGATTACAGAAAAAGTTGATAGAAGCAGAAGACAACTTGAAGACGAAGTAATCAGACCATCACCCTTAAAGTTTGTGACGTGGTCAGTGCCCTCAGTCTGGGAGAAGAGCATTGTCCGTTGACTGAAAACAATTTAAGTTGAAGTGACAGAATCGGGCCTTAATAAATTCCGCAGGAGGTGAGACGTAGGTTGAATGGGAGGGCAGATCTTCTCACACCCAGCGTTCTCACTAGAAAGGTTGTCTAAGTAGATGGTCTGTACCAAGATACCTTGTGTTTGCAGTGTCTGACAGAAATGAACATTAAAATGGTATAAAAACCGAGCAGATTTGTTAGTGGTAAGACACATATGGCAACAGTTTAGGTAATCTTATTTAGAAACGTATCGGCCTACACAGTAGGCTTCATCAGTCGAGTACAGAAAAGTTGATAGAAGCAGAAGATACTTGAAGACTATGTAATCAAGTCCATCACCCTTAAAGTTTTTGAGGTGGTCAGTTCCCGCCCTCATTCCTGGAGAAGAGCATTGTTTCCGTTGTCCTAGAAACAAATGAAAGTTGACAGTGACAGAATCGGGCCTTATATATCCCCAGGAGGTGAACGTAGGTTGATTGGGAGGGCAGATCCTCTCAAACCCAGCCGATCTCACCTAGTAGAAGGTTGTCGACAGTAGATGTCTGTAACCAAGATACCCTGTGTTGCAGTGGTCTGACAGAATGAACATTAAAATGGTATAAAATACCGACAGATTTTTAGGTAAGACACATAGCAACAGTTAGGATCTTTTTTTTGAAACGTTTCCCCTACACAGTACTTCATCGAGTACAAAAAAAGTTGTAGAACAAAGATACTTGAAGACGAGAAAACAGTCCATCACCCTTAAAGTTTTGAGGTGGTCAGTCCCTCAGTCTGGAGAAGAGCATTGCCCGGGTTGTCTAAAACAATATGAAGTTGAAGTGACAGAATCGGGCCTTATATAGTCCCAGGAGGTGAGACGTAGGTTGATTTGGGAGGGGAAAATCCTTCTCAAACCCAGCCGTTCTCACTAGTAGAGGTTGTCGAAGTAGATGGTCTGTACCAAGATACCCTTGTGTTGCAGTGTCCCGACAGAATGAACATTTGTTAACCCTTTTTTAACACAAGGGTACATTGGTACAGAAACTTTCGAAAATACCTTTACGAGTAGAAAGTTGTTTTTAGAAAGGGTCTTAAAATTAACCAGTCCCTCACCTTACATTTAAAGGTGTCGTCCCTCAACTTAAAAGTTTTCTTTCTTTTAAAAATTTAATTGATGCGAATCGGCTTATAATCCCAATAACTTTTTGATTTTGGAGGCGCTTTCAATTCTACTGTTTGTCATATGGTCTTTCCTGTTTTTTTTACAAAATTTTAATTATTTTAGGGCACTAAAATTTTTTTTTATTTTAATTTCGACAACTTCTAGTGAGAAGGTGGGTTTGAGAGGATCGTCCAATCACCTTTTGGACTATTAAAGGCCATTTTCCTTCAACTTATATTGTTTCAGACAACGGAACATCTCTCTCCAGACTGAGGGCGACCACCTCAAAACTTTAAGGGGGATGGACTATTAATGTCTTAAAGTATCTTCTGCTTCTATAAATTTTTCTGTACTCGACTGAAGAAGCCTCTGTGTAGGCAAAACGTTTAAAAAATAAAGATCCCTAACTGTTGCATATGTGTTTACCTAACAATCTGTGGTTTTTTTAACCTTTTTAAATGTTCTTCTGTCAAACTGCAACACAAGGGTATTTGGACAGACCATCTACTTCGAAAACTCACTAGTGAGAAGGGCTGGGTTTGAGAAGGATCTCCCCCTCCCAAATCAACCTAGCTCACCTCCTGGGACTATATAAGGCCCGATTTGCATTCAACTTCATATTGTTTCAAAAAGGGAACAATGCTCTCCCCAACTGGGGGATGACCACCTCAAAATTTAAGGGTGTGGACTATTACTCGTCTTCAATACTTTGCTTCTATCAACTTTTTGTACTCGCTGAAGAACCCTACTGTGTGGGCGAAACGTTTTCAAAATAAAGATACCTAACTGTTGTATGTGTTTACCTAACAATCTGTCGGTATTTTATCCTTTTTAATGTTCATTCTGTCAACACTGAAACCCAAAAGGGTATCTGGTACAGACCATCTACTTCGACAACCTCTACTAGGAGAACGGCGGGGTTTGAGAAGGATTGCCCCCCCAAATAACCACTCTCACCTCCGGGGACTATAAAGGCCCTTTCGTCACTTCAACTTCATATTGTTTCAGACAACGGAACAATGCCTTCTCCAACTGAGGGACTGACCCTCAAATTTAAGGGGATGGACTGATTACATCTCTTCAAGTATCTTCTGCCTATCATTTTTTCTGTACTCGACTAAAGAAGCCTACTGTGTAGCGAAACTTTTCAAAAAAAAGTACCTAACTGTTCATATGTGTTTTCCCTAACAATCTTGGGTATTTTATACCATTTTAATTTTTTTAGCTAAAATACGTGAATTTTTTCCCTTTCCCCCTATAATACCCCCGTTTGTAATAGTCGTAATGACCCTCGGGTAGTAGATGTCTTAATGCCCCCCGTGTTTGATAGTCCTTTTTAGTATGATATAAGATTTATCTTTATTATAGAAAAATAAGAAAATATTATAACCCTTTATATTATAATAATAAAGGGAAAAGGGCCCCCCTGGAAAAAGTCACTCTGTTTGCTTTTTTTTGGGGTTTCCCCAGGTTCTCTACACAATGCTGCTATGTATGATAATTCTATGTAACTGTATTTGTTATACCGAATAAATTTTCTTCTTACTTACTTTCTTAGGGTATTTTGAGCGCAGGGAAGGGGGGTGGGGGGGGTGGGTGGGGTGGGGGGTTCTTTGGGGGTTGGGGGGTGGGGGTGGTTTTGGCGGCGGCGGGGGGTGGGGGTAGGACGGTGGTGGCGGCGGCGTAGTGGCGGCGGCGTGGTGGTAGTGACGACGTGTGGTGGTGGCGCGGCGTAGTACGGCGGCGACGTAGTAGCGGCGGCGGCGTGGTGGTGGTGTGACAGCGGTTGTGGGGGTGGTGGTGACGGGCGGCGGCGGCGGCGGCGACGTAGTAGCTGCGGCGGCGGCGTAGTGACGGCGGTATCAATAATTTTGTGACATATAAAGGTAATGTGGTGACCAGATAAAAGTATCTTAATAACAAAGACATATACACCTGACTGGACAACCCAACAAATAACGCGCACATAAGAGAAACTACCACGACGTTTCGGCCAACAGGACCATCTACAGTCACAGTATCCCAGAGAGGACCAAACGTCTAATAACTCCTCTCTATATCCGGGTTGTACTTGTGTATAAAGTTACTGTGTGTGTGTGTGTGTGTGTGTGTTTTGTGTGTGTGTTGTGTGTTGTGTTTTGTGTGTGTGTGTGTGTGGTGTTGTTTTGTGTGTGTGTTGTTTGTTGTGTGTTGTTTGTGTGTTGTGTGGTGTTTTGTGTGTGTGTGTTGTTTTTGTGTGTGTGTGTTGTTTGTTGTGTGTGTGTTGTTTTGTGTGTGTGTGTGTTTGTTGTGTGTGTGTGTGTGTTTTGTGTGTGTGTGTTGTTTGTGTGTGGTGTTGTTTTGTGTGTGTGTGTGTTTGTGTGTGTTGTGTGTGTGTTGTTTTGTGTGTGTGTGTTGTTTGTGTGTGTGTGTTGTGTTGTGTGTGTTGTTGTGTGTGTGGTGTTGTGTGTGTGTGGTGTGTGTTGTTTGTTGTGTGTGTGGTGTGTTTTGTGTGTGTTGTGTGTTGTGTGTGTGTGTGTTTGTTGTGTGTGTTGTTGTGTGTGTTGTTGTGTGTGTGTGTGTGTGTGTGTGTGTGTGTGTGTGTGTGTGTGTGTGTGTGTGTGTGTGTGTGTGTGTGTGTGTGTTGTGTGTGTGTGTGTTGTGTGTGGCGCACGCACGCGCGCACCACACACAAAGGTTGTCATGGCCTGCTGGCTGGCTGCATGGAGGGAGAAAATCGAAGAGTCGTGGAGACGAGAATAGTTGTTTGCTATGGAGGAACCAGAACAGATTACACCATGACACTGCTCCCCCTGAGACACCTTTCCTGCTATCGCATGTGCCTAGGACAAAATGGTAACTAAGGTGCTATGGGATGCTTACTGTTTGTACTAGCTGACTTGGTGTATGGAAGGGTTTCCCATCCTGTGTGAGGAATAGATGGAAAACTTTTAGCTTGTCCAATTACTATAGAATAGGGTAACAGCGCATTGCAGAGATCAATTGTGCTCATTAAAAACTCGCACTTTAAATCTGCAGTAATGTAATGCGCGTACACACTCCTGCGTGATGGTCAATGCTCTACCTCTTAATACACCCTCTCGGGAATCCTACTGCTGACTTTTGGCTTATCCTAGGTTATGTACACATATGCTGCTATATGATAATCTTATGTAACTGTATTTGTGTTACCTGAATAACCTTAAGTCACAGTCGCTGTACTCAAGAAGTATCCCTACGATCCCCGTCGGGGAGGGGAATTTTTATCCTACAAGCCATCGCCTATACCCTTTCACGATGCTTTCACATCGTGAAAACTTTCACATCGTGTAAAGATTATGTCGTCCAGTGGAGTTATGACTACCAAACTAGCCCATGCTGCCGCTGTAAGGACCTGCTTTGCAGTTAAATTCACAGCTATCCACTCTTTGAAAAACTCCTTCATTGTTGTCTGTTCCGACGATAATGAAGCATCAAAAGTCACGGACAACACCGCTCTGAAGGCATGGTTATGGGGTGCATAATAAACATATTAAACTAACTCTGAAGGCACTCGGAGAGACGGTTCAACATATATCCTTTCTTGCTGGCGAAACGTTCTGTTTTTGTAAAACGACTGGACAAGAGCGTCACATCAATATCAACTGCCGACCTAAAGACCTCTATCGAGGAACAAAACACTTGGGCCTCGGCAGACACCTGAATTCCCAAGGCCTCTTCAACGATCAAAATGACCTTTTCAGACATCGCTATGGCTACCCAAGCACTGACGGACTAGCCATCTCATACTACCATATGCATCCTCGCCACACACAACTAGAACGTTTTGCTCATGTCTCACTCTGCTGGAACTGTTACTCATATCATCACTCAACGAACAACTGTCCCATTAAAGAAAGGAAATTCTGTTCCACCTGCAGAAACGAATGTCACGACTTCAAAACCTGCACCAGCACTAATGCCACTCCAACATGCTTAAACTGCAATAGGGTAACAGTACAGATTCCCACTAAGAAAAGAAGTGCTGTCCAAGAAAATCAAAGAAACTAAGAACAGCCGCAAATCGCCGACACATGCCGCCATAACTAAACTCCAGTCTGATACCACTAAAATTTTACAAGCCACACAACAGCCCCCTCTACCCAGCAACTCCCGCTCTCCACTTCCGGACATGGCTCCCTCCAAGGTGCTGTATTGCATGGTGCATGCGCACCTTGTTAAAGAAGATAACCCAGGCACTTTCAACACCACCATGAACAAACTATTCCGTCTTAACAACATGCCTGCGTTCGTTTCCCCGGACTCCCATTTTCAGCTGACATCCTCAAGATTCTTCCCAACGTTATGAACTTCACTACATCTGCAGACCTGTCTCCTGCTCAAGCAACTGTTCCTGAAACTTCCACAACCACCTCCACCGCCGACAACGCTGTTCATGTTGCCTCAACCACCGTCTCCCACGCCTCCCAACCTGCTGTTACACCACCATTACACCTCTCCACTGGTCCTGTCGTCCCTCAGTTACCTGCTAGCACCATTGTAGACTCGCCTATTGAATCCATTTCAGAAGATATGGACGATTCTAGTACACTCATAAGAAAACCTTACCTTCTACACTTCTCCATCAAATGCTGACACCATGACCTGCACTGACTCTATAAAGGCCTCGGTGCTGGAGCAGTCAAGTTTGCCTGCGAACCACCTCTTCACACTCGCCCAACTTTCACCTTTGGAAACTAGACAAAACTTTACCACCTCTCTAGGAGCAGCTTCAAAAAAAATTTGAAAATGGCTCTTCTACAAACCTACCTTAATCACGTTAAATAACACCACCCGTGTGTTGCCCTCTGATGTTCCTACCTGCCTGCCCTGTCCTGCGACCTAACCTGCTGCCAGCTTCTCAAGACTGGAGACCTCCATCCACCACAAGACCCTGACCCTGCTACTCCTTCCATTCTGTCCCACGAGTGCCTAGCTGCTGGGGCCCTGGCATTTTTCCCCTACGACTGTGGACTCCTCCCCAAACGCTCCCCCCACAGGGGGGTTTTAACCTACTTTTGATCTTAAAACCCCTACCTGACTCCCTCCCCCTAAACTTCCCCCCCAAATCAGAAAAAAAAAACCCCTTCCCACCCTGCTCCATCGTTCTATTTATTTGAGGGATTTGGATCCATTTTGTCCTTATATTTGATAATGATATGGGGAAAGTTTTGTTTTTTGGCAATGGAGCTGGGGTTTGAGGGGCCCCCAATTTTGTAGGTAGTTAACAAAGTTTTTTAAAAAATAGGTACCCTGTTCCGCCAGGGCTGATTTTGCCTTCCCCTTTTTTAAATGAATTGGAGGGGTCCCGGACTCCGCTTGTACTCAGCAGCTATTTAAAAATCCATTTATCGGGGGTTCCTGGCCCCCAAACCCTTCTTCGCTGTTTATTTTACTTGTCACCAGAACCCGGGGGCCCCTATAAAAAAACTATACAGTGCCCTGTGGCCTGGGGCAAAAAGCTCTCGCTTCACATGATGATTGTGTCCGGGGTCGTTTTCCCGGCGAAGGGGTGGAAACTTGGACGCGTTTCCTCACCCCCGGTTGTCTGTGTTTCCCCCTTAAAATTTCAATTCAAGTTTATTCTTATAAGGGTTACAATGGGGGGTTTTACGGGGGTTTTTTGGGTTTTGTGTGGTTTACTGTTATAAAATACAAATTACAAAAAGGGGCCACTGGGGCACCTAGCATGGCTAGGCATTTGGGGCAACTTAGTTTAAATTTTAAACTTTAAAAATATTTTACAGATTATGGTTTTAAGGCTAAGTGACTACATAAAATTTTTAATGATTTTAAAGAATGTGAATGCTTTTTTTTTGGCACAATAAAAAGTGTTTATTGGGGTATCAAGGCAAACTTTTGGTAGTTGGATTTATTTTTTTTAAGATTAAGATTTGTATTTTTGTTTTTATAGCCCATTTGGGTGAGTGGTTTAATTGTGAACCCCGGGTTTGGTTATCTTTGTAGTTAGTTGTCGGGGGGGTCAGGGAGATAAAGGATGTTTTCTAACTGTAGTTTTGAAAGTGATGAATGTGTCTGAAGTTCAAAAAGTTTTCGGTGGGGTGTTCCCAGATTTTAGGTCCTTTGAAGACTTTTGAATTTTTGTAAAGGTTTTAGTCAAAACTGGGGGGAAGTCAAAAAATTTTTTTTGTCTGGGGTTATCCCTGTATCTTTTCCCCCAACTTCAAAAAAAAGGCTTTTTTGGTAAAGGGGGTTAAATTTTTGGGGAATTTTAAGGTCCTGTAGATATAGTTTGGGCAAAATAGTAATTTGTGGGCCCTAAAACGGGGGAATTTAAGTTTAGATCTATGAAGAGTGGGGGGTGTGTTCCCGGGGAGGGGATTTAGTGATTATTCTTCTGAAAGCCTTTTTGTTGGGTTTTTTGGGGGGTTTTTGGTGTTTTGTGTAGATGAACCCCAAGCAAAGATCCCATAGGTGAGGTATGGATTTTTAAAAGTAAAGGGGGTTATGTGGAAAAGGGGGCCAGTTTGCGGCAGTAGAAATCTTCTTGGGAGAAACCCCAACTTTTTGGATACTTTTTTTGTTAGGGTTTTGGGAAATTGGGTGCTGAAATTCAGGTTGTTGTCGGGGGTATGGGGCCAAGGAATTTCCCCCAAATTAATGTCTGGCCCAATTAGAGTGTTGGGGGTGGGATCTTAATGTTAAGTTGGGGCAACCCCTGCTCCTCCCCTACAAAAATTAATATGGGGGGGTTTTTGCCTTGTTAAGTTAAGTTTATTAGCTGTCATCCAAGTCGATATTTTGAGCAGCCCCTCTTTAAACCCCCCAAATGGTTTTTGGGGGGTGGCGAGATTAGGGTTTGGGGAGAGGGACACAAGTCTTTGTCGTCAGCAAAGAGAAGGGTTTTTCCCGGTGTTGGAATATTTTTCGAAGATCTTTGATGAAAAATTGAGGAAGGAGCGGGGGGGTCCAAGGACACTTCCCTCAGAAACCTTTTTATCAACTGGCCCCGTTTTGGGACGGGCTGTCTCTTTTAATGGGGGACATACGATACCTATTAAAAAAGGTAGGATTTAAAAAAAAGCAGCGCAGGGCCCTTTTAATCCCCTAGTGGTCAAGTTTGTGGAGTAGGATGGAGGTTCTACTGTTTTCAAAACGCTTTTCTTAGGTAAAAAAAAACCCTTTAGGGGGATTTTCCCTTATTTTCCAATGCTGTGTTAAAGCAGGTTTTAGTTTTTTTATAATTGCTCATTAGTCCCTTTTTTTTTTTCCTTGAACCAAAATTGGCGGGGGTTGGGGTAGGTTTTAGATTTAGATTTTGCCCCCCCGAAGTGGTTGTTTATTGTGACCCCCATATCCTTTCCTGGGAGGGTTTTTAGGGGCCCAAGAGAAATTTGGGTTCCCAAAAAAAGGGCCCGGGGAACTGGGCCCCCAAAGGGGTTTAACGGGAAAATAAAAATATGGATTTATACTTACATATTTGGTTCACTTTTTCTGTTACAAGCAAATTTGGGAAAAATTTGTTTAGTTATCTGGTATCTTTTTTTCATTAATAAGATATTTTGATTGGTAAAAAGGGTTTTATTATACTGTCTGCCTCTTTTATTCTTCAATAAGTGGACAATTAACCCACTTAGTTTTTCAAGACAGTGACCAATGCCTGATCATTTTTTAAATTTTTGTTTGATCATCATCTGTGTGTCCCCAAAAACTGAAAGAAAGAAATTGAAAACCAAGCCTAACCCTGGCCACTACAACATCAGTCAGTGTTCACTTTCCCAAGTTGCCCCAAAAAACCCTACTTATCTACGTTTTGTTATTTTAGTGGGTTTAGACTACTCAGGCTTCTAATTTGCATTCCTAAAAACAAATTTTTTTTCTTTTATTTACTTTTTGAGTTTTAAATGAATATATTTTCCCCTGTGCACGAGTTTCTCGAGATTTTGGTTTAAGAAAGGGGTAAGTTTGACATTGGCCTATAGTTGTTTACATCTTTTGGGTCACCCCCTTTATGGATTGGTGTAACCCTTGCTGTCTTGAGTAGTGTCGGGAAAGTGTAGTTTCTAGGGGACTTGTTAAAAAGTAATGTAATAGCATGCGAAAGAAGGGGGCCCACTCCTTTTTACAATAATGGGGGGGACGTGGGGACAGATTCCACGAGGTTTTTTTTAAGTGACTTTATGTTTGGGGGGCCCCTTCCTTTGGGCCTCGGTTTGGTAAAAGTAAAAGGGAAATTTTCGGGGAAAATTTCCCCAACTAGGTGGGCCCCCCGGGGCACGGGCATTGGTACGTGGGATTTTACTGGCGAGATTATTTCCTATGTTTGAGAAGAGTCTTTTATCTTTTTTGTTTTTATCAGTGGGATGCAGTGGGTTTTTCATGAGGTTTAGTTAGAACAAAAATTTTTGGGTTTTTTTTTTCGGTTTGGGGGGCCCCAGAATCGGGGAAAAAAGTTTTTTTTCCGGGTTTTTTTATATCTCCTTTTGGTGTCATGGAGGCTGCTGGAGTAGAAACAGTTTTTTTGGGCTTTCTTTATTAATTTGGTGGGGAATGTTAAATATTTTTTAAAAATATCTTTGTGTATTAACCCCTGTCAAATTTGGGCTTTTCATTTTTGGTGTTTTTATCAAGGGGTTTTTCAGAAGGGTGCTGGTTAGCCATGGGAAAACCAACCCCGTTTAGGTTTTTTTTTTCTTTTTTGGGAAATCGGGTTTAGGGTTTTAAAAAGGAAAATTTGTTTTTGTTTT